AAGGTTGAAAAAGATTAGAAGGGACAGAGAAGGCTATTTCTATTCATCGAGGGATACATACAACAGGAAGAAATTACACTCTTAAATTTATTGACACCTAATGAGGGAACAGATAAATATTTAAAACAACTGCTAACAGATTTTAAGGAGGACATTACTAGCAACAAAATAGTAGCTGGAGATTTCAACATCGTCTTATTACTCTGGATAGATCAACAAGAACAAAACTCAGCAAGGAAACATTGGCTTTGAAAGAAGAAATAGAAGAGAAAGGGCCTATAAACCTAGACAGGGCTTTACACCCCCAAAAGAAAGAATACACGTTCTTCTCCAGTGCACACGGAACATTTTCCAAATAGACCATGTGCTAGGATACAAGACATACCTCAATAGAATCAGGAAGATAAAAATAGTATCAACAATCTTTTCAGAGCACCATGCACTGAGAATAGAAGTGAATCACACACAAACACTGAGAATCAAATAAAACACCTGGAAATTAAACAACTTAATGTTGAACAATGAGTGGGTCAGGAAGAAAGTCAAGGACGAAATCCAAAGATACTGGAAGCAAATGAGAATGTAGACACGAGATACCAGAAATTATGGGATGCAGCTAAATCTTTGTTAAGGGGAAAATTCATAGCTCTGCAAGCATTTCTTAGGAAGGAAGAAAGGGCCCACATAAACAACTTGACTTCACAGCTCAAGTTCTTAGAAAAGGATCAACAGAAGGAGCCCAAATCAGGCAGAAGGAAAGAGATCATAAAACTTAGAGCAGAAATCAATGACGTGGAAACCAAAAAGCAATTCAAAAGATCAATCAAACCAAGATCTGGTTCTTTGAGAAAATAAACAAGATAGATAAACCACTAGCAGCACTCAAAAAGAAAGAGAGAGAGAACCCTAATAAACTGAATCAGAAATGAGAAAGGGTATATCACAACAGAAACCACATAAATTCAAAAGATCATCAGAGACTACTTGGAAAGTCTGTATGCCATGAAACAAGAGCACCTAAAAGAAATGGATAGATTCCTGGATTCCTGTAATCTCCCAAGGCTGAATCAAGAAGATCTAGAGTAGCTGAATAGACCTATTAACATCAAGGAAATTAAAATTGTAATCAAAAGTCTTCCCAGAAACAAAATCCTAGGTCCAGATGGATTACTAGCAATTTTTCCAAATATTTAAAGAGGATCTACTGCCAGATCTTCTCAAGATTTTCCAGGAAATTGAAGAAACAGAAACTCTCTCAAACAGTTTCTATGAAGCCCATATCTCTCTTATACAAATAGGAAACAAAGATACCACAAGAAAAGAAAAGTACAGGCCGATATCCCTGATGAATACGAATGTGATGCTTCTCAACAAAATACTAGCAAAGGGAAAGCCTCTTTAACAAATTGTGCTGGCAAAATTGGACAGCTAAATGCAAAAAAATGGGCTCAGATCTCTGCCTAACAACATGTACAAAAGTAAGATCAAAATAGATTAAAGACCTGAACATCAGACAAGAATCCATAGGTACATTGAAGACAAAGTTGGAAAAACCCTCCATGACATTGAAGCTAATGGTATCTTCAAAGATGTCACACCACTGGCCAAGCAAGTGAAAACAGAGGTAGACAAATAGGACTATCTCAAACTAAGAAGCTTCTGCACCTCCAAAGAAACAGTGACCAAAATACAAAGACAGTCTACAGAATGGGAAAAGATATTCACCCAATACCCATCTGACAAGGGGTTGATATCAAGGATATACAAAGTACTGGTTGAACTCCACAAGAAGAAACCATCCAATCCCATAAAAAATGAAGCAATGAAGCAAATGGAAACTTTCTCAAAGAAGAAATCCGAATGGCAAAAAGGCACACGAGAAAATCCTCTACATCATTAATCATCAGGGAGATGCAGATCAAAACAACAATGAGATACCATCTCATACCTCAGAGACTGGCCCACATCCAAAAGAACAAAAGCAACCTGTATTGGTGTGGATGTGGCGAAAAAGGGACCCTCCTTCACTGCTGGTGGGAATGCCAACTGGTTCAGCCCTTTTTGAAAAACAGTATGGGCGATTCTCAAAAAAATTAGAAATTGAGCTCCCATTTGAGCCAGCAATGCCACTTCTGGGAATATATCCCAGAGAGGCAAAAAAAGTGTAGTCGAAGTGACATCTGCACTTGTTTGTTCATTGCAGCACTGTTTACAATAGCCAGAATCTGGAAAAAGTCTGAGTTCCAGAGTACAGATGACTGGTTAAAGAAACTTTGCTACATCTACACAGTGGAGTACTATGTAGCTGTTTGAAAAGATGAAGTCATGAAATTTACATACAAGTGGTACTGCATGAAAAGTATCATGCTAAGTGAAATGAGTCAGAAAGAGAGGGCTAGGCATAGAAAGATTGCATTCATTTGAGACTTGTTACTGTGTTTGGCATATTGAATACATTGTAAGACATTGTAAGACAGAAAATATTTTATGAGAAAATTCATGCACTCAAAATATTTCATGGAAAAATTCTCCAAGTCAAATACTAATCTAAACAAACTGAGAGGCCAATTTCTGTTTGTTTCCCTTGATAGGATAAAACCTTTGAAGTTATATATATATATATATATATATATATATATATATATACATATATATATATTCTCATGGTCATGGTCCTCCTGTTGTTCATTGATTTGCTCGAGCGGGCCCAGTAATGTCTCCATCATGAGACTTGTTACTGTGTTTGGCATATCGAATACTTCACGGGTAGCTTGCCAGGCTCTGCCTTGTGGGCGAGATACTCTTGGTAGTTTGCCGGGATCTCCAAGAGGAGCGGAGGAATCGAACTCGGGTTGGCCATGTTGGCTGCTTGTTAGGCAAACGCCCTACCACTGTGCTATCGCTCCAATATATATATATATATATATATATATATATATATATATATATTGCTTTTGGGTCACACCCTGAGAAGCTCTGGGGTTATTCCTGTATTTGCACTCAGGAATTACTCCTGGTGGTGCTCAGGGTACCATATGGGATGCTGGGAATCGAACTTGGGTCAGCTGCGTGCAAGGCAAACACCCTACCAGCTGTACTATTGCTCCAGCCCCATGAAGTGTTCTATATATTTATATTTACTAGTCAATAGGTGGCCACAAAACATAAAGTATTTGTTTTGTTGTTCTTGGTTAGTTACATCATTTATTTTCAACCTTTGAATTTTAAAGTTTTAAGTAGAAGCTTTGAATAAAAGGAGCCTACTCTATGGTTTGTGCACACCACAAATTTTCTGTAGTCTTTGTAATAAAAAAGTAAATAATTCATAGACTATCTTGTTAATCTTATTATAATAACCAGATATCTTATTAATATCTATGAGTGTTTATTCTATCAGTGTTCAATTTCATGAAATAAAATTATTAAAAAATAATCATTATTTATTGTACATATTTGATTTGATTTGTAACAAAACTATTGGTTTATAGATAAAACATGCAATTTTTTCTACATCTACAGAATGTAACATTAGACTAGGAATTTACAAAAAAGACATATATTCTAATAGTTTACAAAATATTTTTATAGTGTTTTGAAAATTGTATTTCTAATGGCATGAATATACCAGCATTTCCAAATACAGGTTTACACAGCACTTTTTCTGAGATTAAAATATTGTGTAGTTTTTACATATGTAGTTTTTACATAACAAACTATAGTTAAGTAGGTACAAAAGTATTACATTAAAAATCATTCCCATAAAGTACTGTTGCATAAAATGACAAATGAGACTCTTTTTATAGTTTATTTGTTTTTGGCCTTTCCCAGGAGTGCTCAGGATTACTCTTGGCTCTGTATTCAGGGATCATCCCTGGTGGGATTGGGGGACCATCTGCGATAGTGGGGACCAGACCTGAGTCAGCAATGTGCTAGATTTATGTCCTACCCACCTGTAATATCTCTGGCCCCTCAAAAACTCAAATTCTCTCTAAGATCCTAAGAGTGAGCTCAAAGGCTAGGAGATGCTTTACATGCCAGAGATCTCAGTTTGGTCACCATTATCTCACAACTTAAATTCACATGTATGGCCTGTGCAATATTTTCTCTTGAATAATGTAAAAAGAGATAGCTTATAAAGACCTGTAGTATTAATTATAACTACGCATTGATGACCACTTGAAATCCTGGCTCTAAAACAGAGGCAAGCTTTGTTTCGGATAATATAAAAGTATCAGAGTGACTTTTACTTCCATTTATAATTCATAGGCCAAAATAGTTGTGTTATGGTAGAGAGGATAAGTATCAAAAATATTCCAATTTATTTATGTAAAATTGATTCATTTTTCTTATGTGCTATTAAAACTTATATGGGTTAGCACAAAAGAAGAGGCACTGCTAGTATTTCTAGTCACACTTATAGTTATGACTAATTACTAAATCATTTAGTAGTGAAACAATATTAAATTATGTAACTTGAATGTGACTTGAGATTGAATAAATGAAATGACAGTGATATTTTAAGACTTAAAGATTATTTGAATGTGAAAAATCTTAATGATTATTTGAAATACATTTCAAATCAACCAGACTGAAAGAATTCATATGTTTAAAAAAATAGCAATTCACAACTGTGGTTCATATTTACATATATCACACAAAAACGTTTTACCCAAGAGTATTTTTAAGTTCAACATTAATTTTCAAGATAATATTGAAATTTCAAGAGAATATTAAGATAAAAATAATATCTTAAATCAAAGCCAATATTCTATGAATAAACAAAGCTCACATTTCTGGATAAAATGTAACACTAAATTAGTGAAAATGTAGATGCAGTCTTTTGTTAACACAATATTAAGAAAATCATCATTTTAAAGAAACTATGTTTGATTTCTGGCTAACAATACCTACTCTTGAAAATATTCATTCAATAATACTTAAAATAAGTTCTTTCCATTTCAACAGTTTCTATTAGTATAGTTTATCGTAAGTTTACTTACATTTAGAAAGATGAATAGAGTCAAGCACCAACGGGTAATTGTGAGCTTCATTTTTGGTTTTTGAAGTAGATCTAAAACCTAGAGAAATACAGCAAAGAATAGTTAACTATCACATTAATATCAATGCAGTGCATTTGGTAATCTATACTGATTAATCAATAATGATTTACTACTGGGTATAATCTTGTTTTTGATCTAATTTAATTGATGAGAGTCCGTGTCTCAAGACATTCTTCTTCCTTTGTTGGTGTGCAGGGCTTACTCCTGGTTCTGCACATGGAGATCATTCCTGGAGGGATTCAGGGGACCACATGGGATGCTGGGTTATTGAACTGGGATCAGCTTGTGCAAGGCAAACACCTTTAGGGCAGTACTAGTACTATCTATTTGTTTCCCAAGACATTCTAAACAAAGTACACATGCAAATGAGAACATTTTGTTTGTTGTAAAGCATTTGAAGTTGCACAGTCTATTGTCCTTCCTTTAAAACAGAAAATATTGTTAATCAGCTGTTGCCTAATGTCCCCCCTGTTATGAAGTTATTATCACTTTATGTATCAATACCAAAATAAATCATGGAAATAAAAGCAAACTCTGGATTTTAATTAAATAGTATCAATAGAATTGCTAAAAATTTCAAAGACAAAGTCACTAAGAAGTTACCTCATTTGAACAATCTCTGATTATTAAAATAAGAATATTTATACTTTCTATATAATTTAAGATCAATTTTAAGTAAGTTTCCTTCAGAAGCTTAAGTATTTTCCTTTCCTGCAAATTTTTCTTCAAGTTTGAAGTGGCTAACAAAATACATTTTTTGGTGACCGCCATAAAAAATGTATTACTCAAAGTCTATTTGCACTTCTATGTGTGTGATATTGTCATCAAATATTATACATCAAAAAAAACCTTACTTGATACTAAACTCCTTTCAGATAAATCATATTAAAGCTATCAACAGTTTTCTGGCACTCACACAATCACTTAGACATGATGCTCTGTCCTCCCGTTGTTCATTGATTTGCTCGAGCGGACCCAGTAACGTCCCATTGTGAGACTTGCTGTTCCTGTGTTTGGCATATCAAATATGTCACGGGTAGCTTGCCTGGCTTTGCCGAGCAGGCGAGATACTCTGGGTATCTTGCCGGGCTCTCCCGATTGGAGGAATCAAACCTGGGCAGACTGGATTGGCCTCATTCAAGGTAAACGCCCTACCCTCTGTGCTATTGCTCCATGATGATAATTACTAATATTATGGTGACTGTGGTCTACTGAATTAAAGGAAGCACGAAACTCTAATTTTTACAGCTCTATAAACTCAACACCACACTTAACTGTTCTGAATACATTATCTTCCAGTGCTAATTCCTGGAATTCTCTGGAATTCTCATGTTAATGACTTGCATAATTATTCATGACTTGTCAGAATGAGAACCTGGGGATTACCCATGTTGTCACTGACTTCTCCATCTCAACCTCTTACCTTTAGGTTTGGATTCTGTTTTTGCTATAGTTTTGACTGTGTGCACCCCTCTCCTCTGCCTTACTGATTATCTTCCTTATTAGTACCAAGGGGCTGGAGCGATAGCACAGCGGGTAGGGCGTTCGCCTTACAAGCGGCCAACATGGCCGACCCGAGTTCGATTCCTCCGCCCCTCTTGGAGAGCCCGGCAAGCTAATCGAGAGTATTCAGTATTCGATATGCCAGACACAGTAACAACAAAGTCTCCAATGGAGACGTTACTGGGCCTGCTCGAGCAAATCGACGATCAACGGGAGGGCCTTTACCTTTACCTTTACCTATTAGTACCAAGGTGATAGCTTTAAATCTGTTTTTTCATACTTCAAGTCCTAATCCCTCCAAACCATTTTCTACAACAAATTAAGCATAACAATATCTTCATTCAGTGCTATAATTTTTGTTTCCTTTTTTTCATTTGGGGGGCCATACCTTGCTGTGCTCAGGCTTACTGCTGGCTCTGTGCCCCAGAGAACTACTGCCCAGCTGGGCACAAGGGACCACATGAAGTGATGAATATCAAAGAGAATCAACTTACCCATCATATTAACTATCTGGGAAGTCAGTGTTATAATTTTTTTATTTTTCCTTTTGGTACTTTAAAAAATTATTTGGACACTGATTTACAGAATTGCTAATGGCAGGGTTTCATGCTAAAACATTCTAACATCACACTCTCCACCAAAGTGTCTGCTTCCCTCATTATTGTTACAGTGTCCCACCCTACTCCCCCTTAGAGTAATATGCTTCCTACTAATTATTATTTCTCAGTGTTATAATTTTTAGTTAAATCATAAAACCCTTGGTTAGGAATGTAGTACAGAACTCTATAGCTGTGACAAGTAGCAACATAATCATGGCAAGAAATAAAGAAGGAAAACTTAAAAGTTGTCTTCTAGATTTGTAACTTCGGTATAAAGATAAATAATGAAGAAATTTAGGAAAGAGAAATATAAGAAACTTTTGGATACTCTTCTTTAATTGGGAATAATACTATTTGAGTATATTAGATGAGACTTATGTCCTGTTTGAATGCTAAGTCATGTGCAATATGTTCATGTGAAATTGACATGCTTTTTTTAAATGTGAGCCTGTTTTAGTGGGAGAAAATCACATATACACACTGAATTTTTATAGATATTCTTCTTATCTATAAAAGTAGTAGTTCTACTATTTAATCTGTGGGAAGCATTAAAAGTTGTCAGAATTAAAAACCAGATCTCTTCTTGACACGAAATCCTTGCTCATTAATTCTAAATGTGAATGTTAAGCACAGCAAGAAACTAGCTTCTCTATGAAGGAGAATATGGGGCGATTAGGCAGTTAATTGCCTTGTTCTACCTATGTCCTATATTTTATATTTTATAAAGTATAAGCTTCTTGGTTCTGACTTTAGAGTATTATTAAAATGAAGAACCTGAGCAGCAGTGGGAAACATTTTTCCCCCTTATGGGGAATGTAGCTATATCGTCATCTTGCTGTTGGAAAGAGGAGCCCTGTGGTTTCACAGCTCCACACACAGCTTTTGCAATTGTTCACGAAGAACTGAAGTGGAAGAAAATAGTATGAAAATAGACCTATGAGTGAACACTGGGGATGAGAGAGTTTAATCAAAAAACAACGTTATTTTGTTCTTTCCTGTTAATTGAAATGGCCTATAATTTCAGATTTTTTAAATTTTTGAATTATAATGAATTCCTCATGCAAAAATTTGCAGTAGAGATGGACTGTTTAAAACCTGTCTCTAGAAAGAAACCTTAAACTTTAAAGGACAAGGGTTAAGTAGTGCCTTATAGGAATAACACTCTTGGAGTTAAGTCCTTTATGGTAACTTCTGATAAAGGTAGAGATAATATCTAGCAGATTTATGAAGAATGAGAGAACTTTATGAATTTCAAGGTCAAAAACAAGACAAAGAAGAATAGATTAATATGGAGAATGAAGCGATCCACCTTATTTAAGATTCTTCAAAGCAAAGAAGCAATGAATGAAGAAAGGGAATTAATGAGATAGTGCAGGAAACCCAAAATGAGCTAACAGGGACAAATTACTTAACTGAATAAGAATATAAAGAAGAATAAATAAGTTTCCAGATGGAATTTAAAAAAGATTAGCAAGCAATTTTCAATAGACCTGGTTTAGGATAGTATCTATGATGTTCAGAATCAAGTGATCTGAAAGAGAACAGTTTTGATACAAGACTTATGGAGTTAGAGTTGGACTTGGGTAGGAAGGGAAGAAATCAGGAAAATAAAGATAGGAATGCAACTTAGAAACTGCTAGCATTGAATGGGAACTGTTGAAACATTTGTGACCAGACAGATACCTGGTACACCTGGAAAATGACTCAGAAAAAAAAAGAACAAAGCTTAACATCACCATTTGTTTTCGTGCTTCTTATTAGCTTCCCCATGCCTTCTCAACAACAAAAATTTGACTCATTCCTGTAAATCTACAAAAAAGTGTGGAACATATTTACAAGTCTGGAAATACTACTTAAAGAAGAATGATTTGGTGTCAAAATCTAAGAATTGTCAATTTGTTAAATCAAAGCAGGAAGCTTTATTTTCCTCTCCAAAAGGACTCTAGTTATGAAATCAAGAGATTCTAATTTCTGTACCTGTTTTCTTCTTTTTGCCTCTTTTTGGTCTTTGAGACATACCTGTTGGTATGTTTAGGAAGTATTCCTGATGCTGTGCTAAGGGGTTTATCCTGGCAATGGTCAGGTGACCACATGGTGGCAATACCAAATTGGGTCAGTTGCATAAAAAGCAAGGATCTTAATCTCTATACTATCTCTCTGTCTTCTCAGCTTTTGCTTTTATTATTTATTTAGTTTCTTTCTTTTCTGAGGGTTGGTTTGGTTTTGGAGCCACTCCTGGAGATGTTCAGGGTTTTCTCCTGGCTCTCTGCTTAGGGATCATTCCTGGTGGTTCTCAGGGGATCCTATGTGGTGCTGAAGTTTGAATCTGCATAGCTAAATGCAATGCAAGTGACAGAAATCTACTTAAAAAAATCTTCCTGGCCTCTATTTATTCAATTTTGACCAAGGACCTTCATATTTATGCTGATTTTCTGATAGCAAAAAGCACCCTGGTTATGTTTCCCTTAAATATAATACTCCTAAGTCACATATATGGCTTATTGATCCCTTAGATTTCTTAGTAGTTATTTAGGGAAATGGTTTCCAAGATATCATTTTGTTTCATATATAGCAGCCACTCTCAGTGCTGAGAGCAGGTATGGTGCTCTGGATTGAATTTGAAATCTAACACACTTGAGTTAACTGTGTCTCCTACAACATCTTTTAACTACTCTTTTAAAATAAAAACTTTTGTGAGAAACTCATACACAAGTCAAATGAATGTAGAACCAAAAATCCTGAAAGTAAATGGCATGAAAATAAACTGATTATGAACAGTGGTTCAATTACTGGGTAGGAAAACAGAATCTGCTTTTCTCTGACTCTAAAATTGGGTACTCATCACTAATTCTCTCTTCAGAAAAATACATGCCTGTGTTGCAGGGGGGAAGTCATTGGGAACCATTCCTTCCGTG